AAATATTGTACTACTCCCCGTACTACTCCCCTAAATAAAAAATAATTTAACCCTTGCAGTGCATAGGGGGCACTACATGGGTAAATTTAAACAGCACGGAGTTAGCCTTTAAAGTTGAACTCCAGGAAAACAGCTAAATTTACAGTGCAAGTACACATTTGTTGACTGTCTTCACTGATAATGGCATTTTACTTCTGTTCAGCTTCTTTTGTGATTCATTTAGGTCTGACAATCAGCAGATTCCGAAGGGTGACAAACAAAGTTACTAGGGATGCACCGAAATTTTAGCTGCCGAAAACAAAATCAGCCAAAAATTGCACTTTTGGCAAAAAAACGAAAGTGCCATCTTTCAGCTGAAATTGCAGTGCATGCCCGGTTTCTCTCCATCCCGCTGGACACTGCTCTGTGTCTCCTCTGACACAGCGCAGCGGGAAGGAGAGACACTGTAGAGGAGGCTAGGTGATGCGGGGGAGGAGAGTGATGTGAGCGGCTGGCACAAGAGGCAGAGCTCTCCTTCCACACCGCCCCGCTCAGCCTCCTGTGACAGATCAGGAGAGTGGGGTGGGGGTGGTGACAGCTGTCAGCTGTAACAGGTTGCAGAGCCAGGGGTGCGGGGGAGGAGTCAGCTGTCACAGGAGACCGGGCTCTCCGCACCGCTCGCTCAGCCTCCTGTGACAGCGAGTGAGGATGGAGAGTCGGTGATCAGTGATTGCTGACTGTTTGTAAATAACTGAGGACATAGTATGTTTACTGTGTCCCCAATTATGAATGAAGAGGAAGTGAATAAGCCTGCCCAGCTTTACAGGTCTTGCCTGTAAGTAAACTAATTTTTCTGAGGCATGCAGGAGGACTTTTTAAAATGAGGCAGTATGTCCAATATTGGTGTTGCTGACTGTAGCTTCAGACATTAGGGCTTACTATGTTCCAGGGAGAGTAGAATAATAGGAGAAATTGATTCTATATCATCAGTGTTCATGTTGCAGATAATAACTTATTTTGCAGGAAGCTGTGATCTGTGTTGCCTGTGATGATTTGCCTATATTTCATTATCTATCATTGTTAGGGTCCTTATTTAAATGTGCCTTTTCTCCTGGTGGCATTGGTAGTGCTCTCTCCCATGTTGTTAGTAGAGTGTCAGGATAGTCTTGCAGCACAGATGTCTTAGCAAACCAGAGTGCAAGTCCAGGATGTCATCAATCTATGCAGTGCTCAGTCTAGTTTTAATTTTGGTTACTCTGTGTGGCTGTTGGAAAGAAGCCGTTTGCTGCAACTGACATTGACAGTTGATCCATCTGGAGAAGGGAGCTGCTGTTACTGTGGAAAAGTACAGGAGGTTCCATGCTTGAAGACTCCTAAAAATAGATAGGAAAATCCAGAACTGGTAGTTAGGGCCAGAACTGGTAGTTAGGGCCATACTAAGGCCCCGTTCACATTGAGCGATTTATCGCGCGTTTTTTGCAGCGATATCGCTCATATTTCCGCGCTATATCGCTCTATGTAGCTTCACCAATACATTTCAATGTAGCTGTTCACATCTCGTCGCTCAATATCGCTTGTAGCTCGTCGCTGGTAGCTTGTCGCTCCTACATGACCCTTTTTTAGAGCGATTTTGAGCGATATTGCTCCTGATTGCATACAGCCCAATAGGAAGATGTCGCGCGACATGTCGCTCAAAGTCGCGCGATTTCCATGTCGCTCAGTGTGAATGGGGTCTAAAGGGTCAGTCATAGACTTTGCAATTCAGCCAGGAGACTGAAATGTTGTACCCAGTAAGAAATCATTGGTTCATTGGAGTTTAATCCCAGGTAAAAAAGTGTATCAAATGACCATAGATCTGTAGTAGGTAACATGTGCCATTGTTTTACTTAGCCATCTCTTTAGGGGATACCAGGGAGAGCCTGCACACCCAAGACTCTAAAAGTCAGTATATTATTTAATTATAAAGGGTAATTTGTACCATCTTGAAGCCAATTACCTTTGTAATTTAGGCTATTGCTTTACTTGTATTTAAAATGTAAAATTTAAAAGAGAAATAAATCATGCTTCCATTTTTATAAATTAATTCAGATCTCTCCATTCAGTATTCTCTAAACCCTTTACATATTTACAGAAATCAACAGCCCTTTACAAAACAACTTAGATGTATTTGATGTCATAAGTATAAAGCAGAGTGGATAACAAAAACAACGATTAATATAACTTAAAAGAATATGATTTTGTTTTACATAGTATATTGTGTTTTATGAAATAATATTCAAATTGAATTTGCTTATTCTCCTTAGTGTCCTCATGATTATATACCTGTCTGTGGATCCAATGGTGTCACTTTCCGGAATGAGTGCTACTTAAGAGGAGCTGCCTGCAAACAGCAAAGTGAAATACTTGTTGTGTCTGAAGGTTCTTGTGTGGCAGGTATGTGTCAGTTATGCAGTATATAGCTACAGACTTTGTATAAATTGAAAATACTGAATTTGTTATACTGTAAAAATGTGCCTATTTTTCCATTAGAGAGGGTAGAAATATCAAGTACTACTTTTTTCTTGCCATTAGGGGCTTTATTACAACATGTCTGTGGAGCAGCTTTTGCTGCACACCAGGTATCTGCACACCATCGCCATTGTTTTCTATGTGCACTGTTCACAATATACATGTGCAGTGGTTTACAGATAAATGCTGCTCAGCACGCATGGCGTGAACAAGCCCTATAGAACGGTTTGGATCACCTGAAGATTAAAATAGAACTGAGGCTAAAGCTTTTTTACGTTTTGTAGGCAGTAGGCGATAGTCATGATATTCAAGAACAGAAAATACACCATTGTGGGGCTTTCAAGATGTAAAAAAATGGTTTGATAAACCTCACAAATCTCAAAACTATGATGATAGTATGAATTCAGCCAAGTGCTTTGACAACATTGAGATTTGTGAGGTTTATCAAACCATTGTCAAATGTAATGTAGCAGTGTGGTACAAATGGGTATTATGCATGCCGCGTTAGAAGAAATTGGTATTGCTGTATATTTTAATTGCTCTGGGATTCTGTATATGTTTTAATATAGATGTTTATTTTATTGTTTTCAATAAATATATGACTTATTGGATGTAATATATTTGTGTTTTTTTTATCCCTGTTTTGACTCCTTAAAAGCCACACAATGGTGTACTTTGTTGTTGGATATTAAGTTTTAGGAGTGTGGTGTCATGCCCTCTGGTGTTTCATACAGCCTATATTTTTTACGAAGGGACACTAAATACCCATGGCAGATATTAGACCAATGCAGTTGTTCTGGCATTCAGAATTCTGCCATTCTCTCATTGTCTTACAGCCCACTAGCTGGTTGGATAGATTCCTCTCCCATTGTTTTCAGCTCAAAGGATCACAGGACTCTGCATTAATGCTTAGTCCCCTGCCAATAGGATAATCCCTTTCAACAGGAATTCAATATTCCCCGTCAGTTGGTTTAGATGCCCGTTATTACCTGCAATTTCAGCAGTGTGTAAGTGGTGTCCTGCTGGCGGCATCTGACAGGCAGAATGGGTAGTTGGGTGGGACTTGGAGATTACTACTTCAATGTGTTTCACCCATTAATTGGTCAGGCTTCATCAGGACTGGGGAGCAGTAGGAAAATATATGGCTAAATAGTGGCCTTAGTCTGTAGTCCCTCCTATCTAGATTAATCCCTTCCTAGCTTTCCCAAAATCATTGATATAGTTACATGGAAGCCCTGCCCACCTACGCACACTGCCTGTCAGAAGCCACCAGCAGGAAAACACTTACAGACTTCTGCAATCATGGGAAATTAAACAATAGCAGTCTAAATTTATTGTTTACCAAAATCTATATTTTCAGTAAAAAATACACAAAAACTAAATTTTAGTTCACACAAACACAATTGAATTCCTGTTATTTGTACAAAATGATGAGGTTGTGTCACATAAATAGATACCAAATATGACAAACCTCATATATTTAAAATGAACCCTTAAAGTGGGGCTACCCCTACACTGCAAAAGGTTAGTCCTGTTATGGAAATTAGCTTGGTTCAACGCACAAATCCATACTGCGCTAGAGTGCACCAAAGTACATCAAACACAAAGAATTTCCCCCCGTGCTTAAATGCACAGTTGTATTGCGCTCTTTTGTGCGAGGACTGGCAGTACCTCTTTTGAGTCATGTAGAGTTAGGACACAGGAGACAGGTGTTGCTTGCTTGATGCTTCCATGCTAAGAGAGACCCAGCACAGGCCTTTGTTTATTGTTTTATATCTGCCCGACAGGAAGTGATGTCAGACAGGAAGTGGTCTCACAGCAAACCAGGAAGTAATTTCAAACAGGACGTGATGTCAACAACCAGCAAACGATTTCAAAAACCAGCAAACCAGGAAGTGATGTTAACAACCACTTCCTCAATACATAGCCAGTCAACAAAACACATTAATACAATAATCTATTACCACCGGAGTGAGCTTTATCCAGCATTGCTCAGTGAGCAATGCCCAATAAAGTTACTATGATTCTCATGTGTGCTTATTTACAGGGACAACGTTATATTATCTCCAGCGGTTGATCAGGCGCACTAGAGACAACAAAACGCACGTTCCTTTCATATAGGCAGATATACATCTTAAATAATACTATGTCCTCAAAGCAAGTTGCATACACGCCAAACCAATAAATCCGCGCACCGCGCAGGGGCCCTAGCTTGGCGTCCATACACTCGCTAAGAAGACACTGCTCCGCCATGCATAAGATATCTACTCCAATGGTTCAACCCCAGTGCCTATTTAAACCTAGACACTGAGAGACATAATGACAGAATATTACAATACACTAAAAACACATCCTAGTAAAATTTCCACAACAGTGCTCATTTTGGTCTAGGGATGAAAAGAAAGAAGATTTACTCACCTGATCCTCAGTCCCACCTGGCTGCTAGACCGGTCCTAGCAGCCTCTTCTCCCCCAGGCTGACCATTATCGCGTCGTATGCTGGTCCATTAGACATGAGGATGTCAAGGGACATACTACAGCCAGAGTGAAGTGGAAGAAAGCGGTCACTGTCACAAAATTGAGGATCAGGCGAGTGTATTGTCTTTATTTTCGCTTCTAGGCTGAAACTAGCACTTAAACATTGCAAAGGGTTAATTTGAATACATCCTGGAGTTCTTTAAAGCTTTTCCTGAAAGCAAAACACCACCAGGTACCTGCTATTATCTTTGATAGACAGTTAACAATTATTATTATTATTAGATACATTTTTTAGGTTTCAGTCTATTTCTGACTAGGGCTGGGCTATTTCTCACCAACTGCTTTTTCCTTATCCAATAAAAGAGCCCTTGCTGTCCATAAAGGCACGCTTATTGAACAGTGATTAGCAGTTGCCAGGGCTTAGTCCATAAATCAAAGAAGTTAGGTTCCAGAAACAAAGCACAACCATTTTAGGGAAGGCGGGCAGAGGAAACCAAAGACATCTTGGCTAGGCTGGAGGGTGTCGGATACCATACAGTTTTGTTTTTTAATTGTTTAGTCATTTTTCTTTACATAGTACAAAAATTAAAAACCCTGAAAAATGACTGCCAAATGAAAGCTCAATATGAAAAATGGTCTCATAATGTAGGGGGTTTATCTTGCCAGTCCTGAAGTGGTTAAGGTACTGATCAGCCATGTTTAACCCCACTAGCTTTTCCTTATAAGACAGCAAATTACTATCCAACACCTAGAACAATCATGCTTATTAACCCAAAGATCCCTTCGATTGTATCAGTCCAGTACACACTTTATTCAAAATTACTAGGCCCTGGTGAAGGGGGAACCTTTGAATCCACAAAAAACGTTGGGTTTTTATATGATACAAGATCCTGAATGTAATTAAATCTGGGCATATTGTACATTCTACCTTTTGTACTTTCCTACTTGCACACCTAGTCCCTACTCGAGTAAAAAGCTGACCATCTGCCATAACTCCTAGAGAGCTGCCTAAGGGTAATCATTTGCTCTAAAATGCCTAATACCTGCTTTCAAATATCTACTGATAAGAGCAGTGGCAGACCTATGGAACAAAGGGCACTGGTGCAAGATTTTTTTGTCGGGGCTCCCCCTTCCTGTTCCTAAGGGGGGGTGCAGGAAATGGATCTCACTGGCCCCCTAACCCTGCTCTCTCTGCACTAAAGGAGCTTACACTCTAATGTTCCCCCCATAGTCACCATCACTATTATTTTACATTCATATAGAGCTGACATATACCGTAGTACTGTACAGAGGACACTGAACCAGTCACAGCAGTCTCTGTAGAGAGAAGCTTACACTCTAATGCAGAATGCCATCACCTCCAGAGGACTACAAATCCCAGCAATACATTATAAAGCAATGCAGAATAATAGTATATGAATTTGGTACATAGTCTGTTCTGCCTCTTTGCTCTGGAATGCAGGCCTGATATCTAGTGCAGAGAGTCTTAGGAGGGGGAGATGTGCGGGCGGCAAATGCGCTGTAAGCAGAATGCTGCTGTGGAGGACCTAACCCAGCGGAATCAATTTTAAAAATTAAATTTCCAAGCTGCAGAAGTCAATTGTAAGGCAGAGCGCAGAAGTCAGGGTGTAAGGCAGAGCACAGAAGTCAGGGTGTAATGCAGAGTGCAGAAGTCAGCGGTGTAATGCATAGTACAGAGGTCAGGGTGTGACGCACAGTACAGAGGTAAGGGTGTGACGCACAGTACAGAGGTCAGGGTGTGACGCACAGTACAGAGGTCAGGGTGTGACGCACAGTACAGAGGTCAGGGTGTGACGCACAGTGCAGAGGTCAGCAGATGTGATGCACAGTGTTCAGGGTGTGACGCACAGTGCAGAGGTCAGCAGATGTGACCCCTTCACTCCAAAAATTGAAATAGCGAATAGGAATCTAGCAATGCATTCCTATGGCCAAAAATGTTTTTTTTTTGTATTCTGACATGGCTCCGTGTCAGAATAAAGAAAAAAAATGAAAAAGCAGTGTTTCCCTCCTTGGCGGCCAGGATCGGGGGTTTTTTTTTCTTTTTTTGGACGGCAGCAGAACCGCCGGCCAATAGAAAACAGTTGGGCGGAGCTAATTGTCACTGCTAGCTCCGCACAATCGTTTTCTATTTATTTTTTCTACTTTTTTAACGATTTTTCTGTTCTGCTTGGTCCCACAGAGGCCCCATAAAGATGCAAAGACAGTGACCCAGAAGGTATTGCAAGTACACAGAGCTGGCACCTTTTTATGTTAAATAAATAATTATGGAAGAACAGGAGTACTACCTATTTAAAAGAATGCAAAGGAAGTAATAAGTGTAATATATTTGTGTGTAATATATTTTTTTGATGGCTATACAATGTTTTGGTTCTTAAGAAAATAATACATTAGGAAAAGGATTTAATCGTGTACTTTAAGAATAAGTTAGGATGTTTAAATATGTTCAAAATCACACTGGTCATTCCACTACAGAAGAAGTAGAAGAAAAAATTGTTTTTAGGAATAGTTGGAAGAATTATATAACAACTTTCTAAAGTATAATGTTAAAATACTATTAGGTAATATGAACACTAAAATTTATAAAAAGAGGCATATAGAACTATAGGTCCTTGTAATTTGCCTAACTTGAGAAAGAATTATAATAAAGCTAGTGTATTTTATAAGGAGTAACTGTACATATAACTTAGTACATATTGTACATGTTTGGAGATTGGTATTTAGAGACCTAAAAAGTATAGAATCAGATTTGAAATTCATTTTTATAGAACGAATATACACAAAAAATTATGTATGATGATAAAAAAGGAGAACAAGAGATTTGATGTTAATACACTGAATGCAGACAAGATTATAAAAGCAGGTATTTAAAAAGGAAATACAAAGGAATATACACACAGAAAGATTATATTTTTAAAAAAACAAGAAATTGTGGTAAGATGATAAAAAATTAAATAAAAGTAATTATAGATTATACATAATAAAGTGTCTATGAAACATCCTGAAAGAAGATGGATTACCTAAATGAGTAGTGAAGATACTGGATATTAGAAAAGAAAGTTAATAGCAACAAGGGGAAAAAAATCAAAGCACATATGTATGAATTTACCTAAATAGGAGAATGGCAAATTAATTATGCAGGAGGAAGAAAAATGAAAAAGAGCAGGAAAGTTGCCAAAGAATAAAAGAGCTGCTTGAAAAGAGAAAACCTAGAAAGGAAAGGGTTCCAGCCTTGAATGATGATCTTCAGTGATAAAAATGGAAACTTAATTGGGAACAAAAAGAACATATTCAAATGCTGAGCTGAATACTTTACAGACGTATTAACTAGGCGAATGTAGAGAATGGGAATAAGGAAGTCCTATTTTACAGCCTAGAAATAGTCTATGAAAAAAGTAAAAATGGCCATTAAATTATTTTAGAAGATTAAAGCTCCCAGAGAGGATGATAGAAGTTCAGAATTGATAAAACAAGGAAGACTGACTTTATAAAAGTGTATACATGAACTAAGAATTGATATATTGAAACAAATATGAGAATAGAAATTGACAATAATTTTCGTTGTCCAGAAAAAAATCAGGCAAAACAATATGTAAAAATTATGGCGATGTTTCTTTGAAAAAAAATCAATGTTAAAGAAATACTGGATATAATTCAATGTCGCTTTTGAAAAAATAGACCATAGATCATATTTTCCTTTTTTCACATGATGCTGTAAATACAGCAGGTGGCAAATTTTATGTCAAATTCTGCAACTTGTTTGATAAGTATAAACAATATAACAATAGCATAAGAAAGAAAGCGTTATGTAATAATAAGTTGGCTAGGAAAAAAATAGATTCTGACATATACAAGAAGAAAAGTAAAAGTGCAGGAACAAAACTCAAGAGGCCATTATAACTGGTGGTGAACTGAGGGAGGGAGTAATAAGGAAAGTTGTGATTCGAGAGGGTGATATAATATACAATAGTACTCTAGTAACCAGCTCTGTATTATTTGCATATGCTAGACATAGTAAACACCAACTTTTTTAAGAGAAGGTTTTTTTTTATAGAACAGGAATAAAAAGAAATAGGACTTTAAATCAATGAGCAGAGACTGAGGGGTCTATAAACAACATACAGAGCCATTCTCACTGCAAATTTCTGTGAATGTTGATTCTGTGCTAATGGAGGCTAAAACAAAATGCATTTTCCCTGTGCTCCTCAGCTCCATGTAGCGGCCATAATGTGGTATTTTCCAAATAGTACATTTGACCTGAAAAAAATATACACTAAGAACATTACATTTTGGCACAGAACAAAGAATCACAGGGTGAAAAGCTTTGCAATTTTTTTTTATAAATAAAACCATAATGACTAAATACACTGGGTAAGTGCTGCTGATCTAGACATTGGTGTTGGATATAAAGGGCAAAATGCTGAGTTCTAAAGGAGTCTAATAACCTTTTCCCCCAACACAGCAGTTGTCAGAAATTCTCTATCTCATACATAACTCCTAAGTTTCTCCTCTTACATAAAAGCCCCAGACATTCTGTCTTATATAGCCTTATTATAGTGCCTTTATTTTTCTCCAGGAGAAGTGCCAGTCCCCACCAGCAACTGACGTCTTATAAGAAAGCTTCTTGCTTAGTTGCCAATATAAGTCTCAGTGCTGTTTTAATCAGTGGTCATCAGGTATTTTATGTGACTATGCAGGGAAGGTAACTATGATATAGGATACAAGGATTTGTCAATAAATCTAGGATGATCCCACAATTAAAAGAGTTTGGAGGGACATGATTGCTTTAAACTATACCTTAAAATGAATGTAAAGTGGATATTGAAATTGCAAATTGAAAGTCAAATGAACAAATGTTTAAAATAAATATTAAAATAATCCTTTCACAAATTTGGGCTATTCAGACTGAATGTATTCAGACACAGTGTAAACAATGCAAAGGCAGAATTATATTTTTTTCCTGTAAATGTCAAGTTTGGCTCTGCCCCATCCAGTTTTCCAAGCCTTCTTATTGGTTTTTAATGTAATGACTTACCGCATTAATTAAATAGGAGGCTCCGGATGTAGTTGCTCAACATATAAAGGAAATGTCAAGATTTGTATTTAAATTCAACTGTTATATCTCTGGATTTACCCATCATTTTGACATGTGGTTTTCACTGAAGGTAACCTCTGCATTTTTTCATCAAATTATCAGTTTGAATTTCCACTTTACTTTAAATTGTGCACAAATCCAGTTTGTGCCGGGTGTTATGTTTGCCTGACTCTAACTGAAATGATAAACACATTTGCCATTTCTCCTTTGAATGTCATGTGCATTGCACTACAAAAGCTCTTGGTAACCTTTTAGGTAAATTTATCATCTTATTTCCTTTGACTGCATTTGACTGCGTTCTCTACTGGCTTTTAATGTACCTTTTTAAATAACAGAATTCATACTTGGGAAAAAGTTAACCTTATTGACAAGAAAATTAAACTATAATTAAACACTCATTTTTTTTGCATATATCTAGCAAGCAGTAGATATGTGCAAAATCATAAAAAAAATTAAAAAGTTAATACAAAAATGTAAAGGCTTACCTTTGTCACCACCGCTTGCTCCTGTCTGAAGATCTGGAGCTTCTCGAGCAGCATGATGGGGCGTCTGCATGCAGCCGTAAGTGTGCACATCGGTCAGACACCGTGGGACCCGAGCAGTCTGTGCTGGCTCAGAGACCGGCACCAGCAATACAAGTGGAAGGAAGATGATCGGTTTAAGAGGCATCACTTAAAGGTAAGTTCTTAAAGCAGCCTGGGGGTGACGAAAACATTTGTGACTTTAATGTCACATTAATGTTTCAGTCTTTGAAGAGTTAAAAGAAAATTAACAGACAATGGATTAGGAAGTTCTTCTTGCCTGTAGTGTTGTGAGCAAGGAATCCTTTATTTGATCTTACATATTCTGTCAAATTGTTTCTCTAATTTCTTTTTTTTTCCATTTCAGAGGGAGGCTCAGGCTCTGGCGATGGAGGTAGGCATTATGCTATAATTTGTTTGCTAGTTTATCAGTATATGTCATTTTATCTTGTGAAAAAACACCATATAATTGTTTAAAAAGAACTTCAGGAAGTAGTGCACTTACTGTATCTAAATGTTTCCTCTAACAAACTCCCACTGTAGTTACAACCGTCTGTATAAAACTGCTGTTTTTGGTAACCACATCCTAAGATGCAGAAATGTTTAAACATATACCATGTCTGGTGGCTTCCCTCCTTCCTCTGCTCCTTATTGCAAACAACTCATACAGAACTACAGAAAACCTGTTACCCTTGCGTCCCTAGAGATGTGAATCTGTACTTCAGCCACTAGATATAGCTGTGTATAGATCAAGTATATTATCTGAACCACCAATAGGAAAACACTTACTAAAGATGACATTTACAAAAACCCCTATTGTCTCCTCAGAGAGGATAGTTCCTTTTTTTAAATAAAAAAAACAACTATTTACCCTAGTTCCAGAACAGAAAGTAAAGGGGAAGCCAACATTTTGGTGATGTCATACACTTTAATGTCTATAAAAGGTCAATTTGTTATGCAAAACCGTTATACTAAAGGTTTTTAGGCTGTTCACTTTGCAAGGGGAATTTGCACTTTGCAGGAGAAGTTTCCCTTAGTAAATGCAGGGAAATTTCACTTTGCAAAGAATACCCAATCACATGCAAGTAAAGTGAAAAAAAAAACCTCAGCATTTTGCTTGCACGAGATTGGATAAGGGAAGTCAGCAGAAGTTCACCCCATTCACTGAACTAAGGGGAAACCTCCCCTGCAAAGTGCAAATTCTCTTGCAAAGTGAACAGCCTATTTGTCTTTAGTAAATCAACCTCATAAGTTTAATGATTAAAACTGGAAACTATGGATTTTTTTGACCCATTGTAAAATAAGAACTAATCTAAAACTTGTCATGATAGAAATATTGAAAGTTCCAATGCGAGCTTGTTTTCTAGGGTTCAGGATCCATGTTCTTGCAGTTGTTGCCATGAAAAACATGCACTGATCAAGATTCCTAACTTGACTGGTTTCAAACTTTTACTACTGTCTACTTTTAATTGGCGTCTTTGTTAAAAGGTTAACCCACACTTTCTGTTCATTTGAAGTTTCAAACAGAATTAGGAAGTGAGGCAACGTCTCATTACTTCCTGTCTATTTGATGGGTGTCAGACAGAAATAAAAAGTAAAGAAAAATCTACTCACTGTCTATTTGCTGGGTAGCTGTCTGGGTGACAGGCCAGATCATATAGATAATGGTAGCCTACCCAGCCATTGAACACATGCAGTTACCTACTGTGTGCAGGTTCAGGTGCAATAGCCAAATTTCCTTATGGACATAGTTACATAGTTACATAGTTACATAGTATTTGAGGTTGAATAAAGACATTAGTCCATCAAGTCCAACCTATTAGGATCTCATTCTAGGAGTACCCGTAAGCCTTTGGATTTTTTGCCCTGGGGGGCACATATATTCATCCATATATCCATCCACCCTGATTGTGTGCAACAGTGTCCACCTTATAGACCTTCAGTACCTCGGCTTTCGTTGGTGGCAGTGTGCATTCACCATGGCAGATGGCTGTAGCTCCTGGCAAGTTGTTGTCCAACTCCTCCCCTTCTCCACCCCCTTAACTTTAAACACTGAGATAAATATATTGGGGTGTATGGAGATTCCAGGGTTCCCCTTAGTGGGGTTATTAATGGGTTTGGGGTCACATGATATGGCAGCTAGTGTGGCCAAGTGGTTCCCTTTATCGGGGTCACTGCTGTGGGCAGGGTGGCAATGTGACTTTAGGTCACCTACTATTTTAAGGCATGCCTGTCTGACTGTGGATAGAGCTATGGTGGAATGCCAGAATTTTCTTTGCATGTTTTGCTCCTGCAAGAGCTGCAGCCACCAACTTTAAGGGCTTCTGCCCTAAGAGGAACAAGAAACCATTTTGGAACAAGACACCAGATTGAAATCCATGTGGCTGCCTGTAAATAATGTTGTTATTATTTGTACTACCATGCCATATAACTGAGTTGTTCAAAGCTGTGTAGGGGCCACTATCAGGGGCCGCCCCCTGGGCTGTCTTTTGTGCATCGTGCAACCTACTTCTACAGGGAACAATATACCCATTTAGTGATTATCTAAAGCGGATCTGTCCTCCAATGAGCAGAGAAAAGGATTTTATGAGTACAAAAATGGATCAGATGTTTTAGGTGGGTGCATAACAGCGATGTGAAGTGAACAGTGAGGATAAAAAGTACAGGGTTTAATGTGCCGGACACTGGAGTGAAACAAGTGGACAGCAGGATCAAGCTGCTGTGACAGCAGGTATTACAAGAAGATAGCAGAAGATCACTGTGGCAAAGTGTCTTATTGATCTCTGTGACTGTTTGCTAAAAACTCAGTATAAAATATGTTTATCAGTTAAATGTACAGTGACATTCAGAAATGTTAATTTTTGTAACTGATGATTACAGAAATAACATTCCATTATATACAATCATACATCATCACCAAACCAATGTTGAAAGCAGACTTCCCTATGTTTGTATAGGTTCAGCAAGCAAATTCACTTTACCAGATTAAATATATAACATATTTTGAATTAATTTGTAAAACATGACCAAATAACATAGCATCCAATTCATATGATTATACAACAATGACCAGGAAATTGTTGCATGCTACCTTTAAAAATGTTGTGTGAGCACACAAACCTGAAAGTGTCATTTTACACAGTTATGGATGTTTTATTACGTAACATCAGCAGACAATTGTTGAAAGGTATGTCTCCAAATGTAAATATCTTCATACATTACTAGTGTCACCTTGAGTTTAATTATGCAACATTGCCAGGCTTTTATTGCAAGCTGACTTTGTTGTGTTTTAAAAGCAAGGTAGTCAGCCCAATATTTATTTTCATCTGTAAACAGTTATATAAAATTCCCTTACAGTACTGTATATACTGCAAAACAATACCGGCGCCTTCAAATCCAAAAAGAGCTCAGCAGTAAAAATACAGCAAACACGATGGAGGCAGCTCCCACAGATTAGATGGACCACCAGTCTAAGAGAAAAGGAACAAAAGAGAGCGCCTCCATAGTGTCAAATTTTTATTTAATAGTAAAAAACACGCAGCTCTAAGGCTGTACTTACAACAGTTTGGTAGAATAAAAACCAGTAGAATAAGGTGAGAGGACCAGTGAAAACACCAGTAACCTCAATCCCTGTATTGCTAAATGGTTTACGCGTTTCTTGGTTTACGAGTTTACGCATTTCTTCCTCAGAACCAATCTGTTGATTGGTTCTGATGAAGGGGGCGTGCCCCAGAAACGCGTAAACCATTTATCAAGGTTCGAGGTTACTGGTGTTTTACATCGCTCCAGATTCTCCCTTCCAGGGGTTCCGTCCTCTCACCTTATTCTACTGGTTTTTATTCTACCGAACTGTTGTGAGGACGGAACCCCTGGCAGGGAGAATCTGGAGCGATGTAAAACACCAGTAACCTCAAACCTTGATAAATGGTTTACGCGTTTCTGGGGCACGCCCCCTTCATCAGAACCAAACAGATTGGTTCTGAGGAAGAAATGCGCAAACTCGTAAACCAAGAAACGCGTAAACCATTTAGCAATACAGGGATTGAGGTTACTGGTGTTTTCACTGGTCCTCTCACCTTATTCTACTGGTTTTTATTCTACCGAACTGTTGTAAGTACAGCCTTAGAGCTGCATGTTTTTACTATTAAATAAAATTTTTACACTATGGAGGCACTCTTTTGTTCCTTTACTGTATATACTGTAATTTTTTGTTACATATTTAGTGATGTTTCTATTAATTGCAGTAAATTCATCCTGAAAGAAATATATATGTGCTAACAACATGTGAAATTGTAACATGCGTAGGGCAAGAAGAAGGGTCACACCACCAACAGCAACCAAAATTTGGAATTGGCAGCAGCAAGACTTGGTCGTTGTTGCCATTTTTTCATCGAATAGTCAGCAGGTCCAAAATAAACATATTGTGTTAATGACTGGTTAGCTAGTTTGTTTTTCTACTTTCAAGAGGGAGACTATGGTGATGAACAACATAAAAGTTAATGTTACATATGAGCAAGGGTACTCATATATTCTACTCTTCTTCATAGTCTCTTCTTCATAGTCATTCTGTCAGCCTTCACTAATGCTCAGTGTGCAACAATTACAGCTGATTCCAGTCAAGTGATAATTCAGAAAGAAAAAAGGAGATATTAATGGCATTATCACAGGGCATGATGAATTTTCTTTGTGACAGAATACTTTTTAAATTTGTGTTTAAAATGTTAGTATGATTTACTACAGATTTATTCACCAGGAATCTGGCCAAGACCCATATTTCCAAATATTTGTGCCACAGTGAATTGCACATAATTCACTCATCACTACTCCTATTCTTTGGAAGTGAAATGATGTTCACACAACAAGCCTAAGCAAGAGGACTGCTCTGGCCATCTAAGCACACATTTGAAAACTTTAGCTGAAAACAGCATCTTTTTCCTGTGTAGGGAAAGTATAGTAGTCAATAACTAGAAACTCATTGTTTTCCTTATGGTTACATTCAAAATTCCAAACTACATTTTCATAATAATCTTTTGTTGCTGCTAAAACTGGCTCACTGTTTAGCTCTAGTAACCAAAATCTCCATCATCTGCAAAGGTAATGATGAAGAGGGAAGGACACGTGACGAAAAAACAAGGTGAAACAGAGCAACTTGTCTGGAATGTATGTTAAACTCACCTTCACTAAAGAAAGGACACACAAGGATGTACTTCTCTCCTCTCACATAGTTAGAAAGTTAACTGTATTAAAAAAAAAAAAGAGAGAGAGACTTTCAAGTTCAACTACTTGTAAACGCAAACAAATTTGATCCAAAACAAAATTTTCTGGGCAACCATGGGAGAAAAAAAACTCATATGGGTTGTCAAATCAGTTCCCTTTGAAAATATGACCATGCTA